TGAACCTCGCGAATTTCCTAGTGTTTGCAAGACGCTCTCTTTTTTAGTATATAAGCCAGCGATAGATAGATATCCAGATAGATTGAGATAATTCAGTCAAGCGAACAGAAGGCACCGTAAGCAAAGTGTGTCAATCACTGTGTTTTATAGAGTGTGCTATAAAGGTTGTTAAGTTTAAAGTGACTGTGGAAATTAGATGTATTACAAAGTTTGTAACCAGAAAGAATAAACTAGTTTTAATCAAGAAGGGACTTGTATCGTTGAAGTCACTCGGAAATAATTTTTACCGGAAATTATGCAACAAGAAGATACGTAACAATATATACTTAGATAAGTGTATCATCTGGAATTATTCCTCACATCAATAAGTGAGAATAAGTGCATGTATAAGTGAGAATCTCGGAATTAAACAGTTAAGTAGAATTAATAAAAATCATGAATTTTATCTTGTATGATTGAAGAGCTCTGCCCACATTTAAAAATTCAAGTGAGCATTAATTAAGTATTATTAAAGTAGCACTCAGGAGAGAAAGTTTTATATTGATATCAAAGTTTCAAAAGTAATTGCAAAGTAATCTTATGTGTTAATGTATTTTCATGCAAGGTATTTTTTTTATATTATCGCAGTTGTGTTTTCAGTGTTAACATAAATCATCATATAATCAGCATCATTGCGTAAAAACACGAGAACTTAGTCGTGTTAATTTTTTTATAAAATGTACCGACATGTAAGGGAAACCGAAATATAGTTACATTCAAATATGGATAAGAGAATCACACTCCACTTATTAAAGCCCACTAGGTAGCGCGTCAATTACACCCCTAAAAATCACAGTGTGTGATAGAACTAGACGGTTGTCGTAAACTATTCTTACTCATCGGTATTAGGTGCCTGAGAAAGGGATTAAAAGGTATGTGAGGTGGAACAGCAGGAGAGGTGAAGCGTTAGAGGTTACATTTAAACTTGCCATACTAACAAAGAGGCTTCGACGTGCAAATTCTCACGTCAGCTTTAGTAATGTAGGTCTTTACACTAGTTTTCTGATTGGTACAAAACTACAATGGTTGTCTGAGTCGGTGTGGACTATCCCGTGTAGCTTAGCCTGATGCAACCGGCGTTACCATTAGTAGTAGTAGTACAATAGAACTTGGTTTCAAAGTTGGAACGTTGAAGCATTTTGCCGGTTTTAAACAGCTTGTTAAACATATTTTTAACTTTTAGTTTTAAGAAGCTGTAGCTTTCTTGAGTTTGCGTTTTCGTAATTTCGTTTTAAGCTGAAGCCTTAGAAGTTAGATATAAATTGAAATTTGTCGGAGATACTAGTTTATGTACTGAAGTCAATCATTTAAAGTTTTAATATTAATAATAACCACCAGAAATGGAAAAACTAATGATCACATCTGTTGTCACCAGTTCTCTGCCTTGCAGACCTTTTGAAGAAGAATTAAAGATGTCAGACGGTGACCAGACATACCACTACCAGCGTTCTGACACATTAACAGGAACATTACTTTCACCAGTTTCTGATGATGATAACAAAAACAGATTTTTTAGCAGGGAAGGTCTTGCTGTAACCAGAGGTGGACATAAGGGAAAAGCTATTGCTGTGCTAACCAGTGGTGGAGATTCTCAAGGTAAGTATATTTTTAAATAATAATTACTCTGTGCTCCTGGTTACCATATTCTGTTCATTGAACTAGACAAGATATTCTTCAATCTATTTCATTATTTTTTGAAGATATTTGGTAAACATTACTTGGAAATATTTATTTTCCTATTGTATTTAAGTTCTGTCCTTACAAAATTGACTATGATATAATTACTGTATGATCTAATAGATTATTTGATATTTTTGAGAACTAAGAAAAAATATTTGGCACACCCCTTTATGGTGTTGACGTGCATATTGATATATTAAAAAAAAAGATTTTCCTCATTCTTAAATAGAAAATGTTTATTTCATCACTTCCTAGGTTTAGCCACAAGTTATTTTTTTGTGTTATGACTATCACAAGTTTCATATTGTATTCATTTGAAACCTCTGGTGTAAATAACTTACCATGTTTTTTTACATGTAATTTGCTGTCACCATCAGAAAGCATGCCATGTTATGTATTTTTAAAACATGATCAAGGAAACTGTCGAACAGTAAATAAAATTTTTTTTATCTCATGAAGTTTGTACCTCATAACCCATTCTAACAAAAAACTTCAAAATTCTCACAGTAGAATTTTAAAGCATTTTTTCTTCTACCATTAAACACATCTTATTTTTAAAACGGACTGTCAATTGCACAAGCAGGAAACTAATTATACTTTATAAGTTGTAATACAAACATTCTACCCACGAGAAACAGCTAATCCTGATTTTTATATATGGTCTTATATATGGAGTTTTTTTACTTGTAACCCAAATTCTAAAGTTTATTCTATTAGAGTACCATAGAGTTTACCTTTAACAATAGTACTGTCCTAAAATGCTCAATATTATTAAACCTAATCTTTATCAGAATGAAATTCTCATATCTATTAGACACACACACACTTATAGAATGAGAAAGTGTAAAATCTGCACAAACTTATTCTATTACTGTCCTTAAAAACTTTAAACCATGTGATACTTGTGATATTTAAACTAAACATGACTGAAGACCCTTTGAAGTGGTAAAGAAAAACAGTTTGCTGATGTAAGTTCTATTTATGTAAATTGTACTGAACAATAATAGTAATTGAATTAGTTGTTTTATGTGTTTTTTAAAATAAAGGTAAGGCATGTGGAAGAGAATGTTTTTATGTATGACAAAATTTGGATTTTCTATGAACATATCTTTTCGGTAGGCTAACCAAGCATTCATATAACTGTCTTTTCATTACTCCACCTTTTTATTTTCTTTGAGTCCTTGAAAGTCATATGTGAACATCAGAAACTAACCAAAATAAATAGAAGTATTGAGTATAAGTCAACAAAGGTCATCATTATATTCCATAAAGTGTTGGTTAAATATAATTTAAAATATTGTGTTCAGTTTTAGCCATCTTATTTAAGAAAGTATGTTGAGTTAATGGAGAGGACTTAGAGAAGAGCCATCAAGATGATTCCACGTTTAGAGGAGTTACTGTATGTTGATAATCTTGACATGTTTTTAATGGAGAGAAGAGCTTAGGGATGGTGCACTGATTGAGGGTTTTAATAAATTCTGCACATTATTATCAATTGGAAATGAAATAATGCCTTATTGGAACCTGTGTGTGCCACCAAACAGCCTCCTTCCTAATCTCTAGGCTATCACCTGACCATGAAGTTTGTGTTGTTGTCAACTCTGCAATGTGGGAGTATCCAATTACACTGATGCTCAGATGGCTGGTGGGTTCCTAAGTTTGAGGGACACAGTAATGAGGTGTACACAAAAGTTTGTTTCTGACCTCTGTTGGACCCCAAACTCCTATATGTATCACATTCATGTAGACCGTATACCTAACAGTTCAGAAAGGATCTTCACTGTCCCACGATTTACTCACCATTTTCTGTCTCATCTGATGGCTTCCAGTTCTTCTCGCGTGTTGTGTTGTGATCAGAGTCGGGGTTGTCATCTGGCTCATGTCAGACTAGAAGTCTAGTACAGACCTTCCCAACTGGTCTTGGGCACCATAATTTCATGGTTACCCTTGGACTATGCTGCCGTTGCCCTAAGGTTGATTCATAATGAGAGAACCCTATCCATTGCTGATCTGGGTGAATCAGGTGATGGTATTTCTCCCTGAATCATGGACCAGAGTGAGATAGCAGTCCTGGATTTTTGCAACAGTAGCGAAAATTGAGCATTCGGGAGACTACTACTCCTAGATGCAACTGTTCTTCCGATTGATCATTTCCTCTTAGCGACCAACTCTTCCTATAGATTGTATACCTTTCTTTTCATTGTAAATGCCATTTCAAAACAAAATATTTTTTACATGTTTTAGTAGGGTAGTACACACTCCAGTCATTTTCAACGAAGTTTGTAATAAACCAGTGTCCTGTATTCATGGCACCAAGGTTTCTTGTTAACTATTTACTCCATATGGTATATCCATATGAAGATTTACCTGATAGGTCCACTTTATGGGAGGTTTGAACAAAATGTGGTACTGCAAATGATTGATGAACTTTTACTGGTTGTGTTTAAGCTAAAGAGTAAATGGATGGAACATAAAGTATAAAATACAATGAACACAAGCTTTATTAAAGCTTAAAACAAAAACACCAGTATATATGTGTGTGTATACTCGCTTTTGATGGACTGTTACTTCTTCACAAAGTTAAGATTGGGTCAAGCGTTGATGAGATTAGGAATCAGACTAATAAAGTGAAAGGTTTCTATTTAAAATAAAACTGTATTTACCTAGCATGACTGCACTACATCGTGACTGGTCATTCTCATTACACGTAGATGGGGCTGAAATCACTAGGTATTACCTGTAGTCCTATACTACCATTGAAGGGCATTGGCATCAGTATCATTAAACAAGTGGTGTGTAGCAAGATACACTTAACTTTGAGAATGTCAAAAGAACAAAGATAACTGGAAACAAGATCAACGTAACAATTTGTTATATTTGAAAACCTGCACATATTCATAACAAAGAATAAATGTTGGTGCTACAGAAAGAAGAAAATTATGATATATTTTTATATCACATAAATATGTTATAAAGTTTCTATTAGCTTTACTACTGGCAACAGAACACTGCTTTAATGACTTACTTGACTTATCCACCATTGTGCCAAAAATCCTTTTTTTTCAGTCATGCTTGTGAGTTGGTTTCCATCTATATTAGATGTATGATCAAGTCATTCTGCAATACTTCAACATCCTAAATACAGCTAGAGTTTAATATCATCAGCAAACTTCACTAATTATGCTTCTGTTAATATCATTAATGTGACTAAGAAAAACAAAGGCCCAAGCACTGACTTCTGAGGTGTTCTACTTGTAACAAGGGTCCAATTTGACTGGAAACTTTTTTGCTTTTGAGTATACTCCTATGTAAATTAGAGATAGAGAATGTTCCTTAAAAAACAACTCAACTGGCAAGAGAATTATAATTCTTTGATTTGAAAGCTACAGTTTAAATGCTGAAAGCTTGTGAAGCCAGTAGTCATAAAGTTTGTAATAACAATTGTGTTGCCCTCCAGTGGCACAGCGGGTATATCCGCAGACTTACAACACTAGAAACTGGTTTTCGATACCCGTGGTGGGCAGAGCAGAGATAGCCCATTGTGTAGCTTTGTGCTTAACTTCAAACAAACAACTGTGTAAGCTGCAGATGTACTTTTCTACATTCTTCTTTATTTATTCAGTTTGTGTGTGAATAGCATTTCAGATCTGTTGTTGTCTACTACAAGTCACAGCCCTTGAGGCCTTTTCTTGAATACCAAAGAATGTCTCTCTCATCCAACTGATCAGTTCTAAGCCTGCTGAAAGTAACAATCAAACTCGCTTAACTCATTCCAACTGATCAGTTCTGAGCCTGCTGAAAGTAACAATCAAAATTCGCTTAACTCATTCCAACTGATCAGTACTAAGCCTGCTGAAAGTAACAATCAAACTCGCTTAACTCATTGCAACTGATCAGTTCTAAGCCTGCTGAAAGTAACAATCAAACTCTCGTAACTCATTGCAACTGATCAGTTCTAAGCCTGCTGAAAGTCACAATCAAACTCACATAACTGATCAGTTCTAAGCCTGCTAAAAGTAACAATCAAACTCGCATAACTCATCCAACTGATCAGTTCTAAGCCTGCTGAAAGTAACAATCAAACTTGCATAACTCATCCAATTGATCAGTTCTGAGCCTGCTGAAAGTAACAATCAAAACTCTCGTAACTCATTCCAACTGATCAGTTCTTAGCCTGCTGAAAGTAACAATCAAACTCTCGTAACTCATTCCAACTGATCAGTTATAAGCCTGCTGAAAGTAACAATCAAACTTGCATAACTCATCCAACTGATAAGTTCTAAGTCTGCTGAAAGTAACAATCAGACTTGCATAACTCATCCAACTGATCAGTTCTGAGCCTGCTGAAAGTCACAATCAAACTCATGTGACTCATTCTTGGCATGTATTATATTCTATGAATTCTATCCCATACTAGGATGTAGATGTAGTTAAATAGTCCAATAAATAATTGAATAAATATATATCTCTGTAGGATGTAATTAAAATCAAAGTGGCAGTCGGCCATTTTGCCCTTCAAGATTAACTCCTGCTTCCAAGATAATCAATTGTAACATCAAAACGAAACCTAAACCATGTATCAAGCAAACAGATGATTTTAAAAAAAATCATGTAATGAAACATTAATTTGATGAAGAGCAGATGTGAATCCAGCATCTAAAGAATTATTTTATTACTTCTAAAGTGCACCACTAACATACACTACTGAGGTACAGGTTGTTCAAGTTAACAATAACCACACTGTGAGAAACTGTGGATTGTAAATATATGTGACACCAGTTTTCATTAGCTGTTCCATTGGATATGGTAGATGTAATGTGGTTCACATAATATATTCTCCTTTGCTTTCACTCCTGGGTTCTTAGAATTACTCATATTTGCCGTTAAAAGTTGATGTCAAAATTACTTCCACTTTTGTCTGATTGACATCTGGAATGTTTTTTTTTTTTGGGAGGGGGATTTAGGGGTGAACTCTGTGCAAAAAGACTTTCTGTTGCACGCACTTACTGTAACTGTTTCTCAAGTCAAGATCTAGTAAAGTGTTTTAATACTACATTTCAAGTTTGATTAAATTCACAGGTTTCCAGTGTTATTTGTAGTTACTGAACTTCACACACCAGATCTTGCTAGGAAATACACAATACTTCTGTAAGAGTTACTAAGATTTACTCTATTGGATTTGGCTTGATGCCAGGGACATTTCTGGGTCATCATGTTCACCTTGAACTTAATCAAGACCCTGATAACATCCGTATAGGCTTTGAATGTTTGTAATGGTTAAGTTAGCTTCCATATCACATAACAGAGTAAATGATTTACACGTACATACACAATTATGTTGAAGTGCATAATATGTGCTTGCTCTACATAATACACGTTATTATGTTCCATGTATTATTAGTTTGGTAGATTATGTGTGGTATAATGATTGTTGATAGTTTGTCACAGTTCTGAGTCTCATTGATTTGGTGTTGAAAACCCTAACTGAAACATTAGACAAGATATCATGTTGACTGATAACTGATGCTTTTATAACAAGCTCTGTCTACATGTTATTCAACACTTTATTATCATGTGGTCAGTAAATGTTTCTATAACTGTTAATGAAGTCTGTCAATGCTAAGAATGTACACTTTTATGCTAGCCATTTGTTTTTACTGAGTTTCAAATGTGTAGAAGCATTTAATGTAGCTGTTACATTATCTTTAGCATCTTTTTAAGATGTTAACTTTAAGAAATAATTACTGTTTAATAATCTAGCTAGACAACACTCCTTACTGCCATGAAACAGTTGTTGTAACCTAGAAACTTGCTTTTACTATATCTGAATAAAACAAATAGCAAACAACAGAACAAAAACTTTAAAACTTGTCCAGGAGTTTGAACTGAAGTGTGAGTCGACATTTGTGTATGATGTGATTAATTAAACTTATAATTCCTTATGCCCAAAACATAAGTAAGGTGTAAGTATACTGAAGAACTTGTAGTTTGTAGAATAGTTTTTTTTTGTGGCACATCTTAAACAATATGTTTTTTTTTCTGTCTTATAGGTATGGTTAAAGTAAGTTTTGAATTAGCTGAAGTAAGTAATAACCTGTGACTATGCATATGGTACATCACGTTTTAAAGCTCATCAGTAATGTAAGGGACAAATAGATAGGTTTAGTAAAACTTGTGTACATGTAAATGAAACACAAAACTGGGTTATTTCAAGAAAGTTTAGGATTTAAAATTAGAAATCTATTGAAGTGTATTGTGTTTGTTCTATATTTATATATGAATTCATACACGATTAATAGCACTGTTATGGACATATGAATTTAAAAAAATAACTATCATAATATTTTATGTATTTTATGTTTCAAACTTTCCAGCACAACCTCTGATTTGTGTATGACATGTATATTCATGCTACTCACTCACATAGGTTCTCAAGGTAAATTGTATGTTGTTTTCTAGCCACTCTTTTAGACAACATAGATAATAACATGAACAATAGTATGTTCATGTGTAACAGTCTGGGTTAGGACACCGTATGTACTACATGCACATAGATCCATATAATTTTGCTAATAAGTTGTTAGATTGTTAGAGCTAATGCCAGTTTCGAGACTATATTTTAAATGTTCTACAGCAGGTAGAGCCCTGTAACTAATGACTGCCAATTTATGGCTATTTACAATAATGTCATGAAATGTACTTGGCAACCAGTATGTATGGAAAGTTATTTGAATTTGTACACACTATCAATGCAGTACTTTTATATATATATGTGTGTATGTGTGTGTATGTATAAAATCCAGTTAAGACATTTTTGTGATTATGTTGACAATTTTTCTTTTATAGAATTATTCAGAAAGAAAGAACAATTAAATATATTTTATACTTTCTTTTAAAGTTTCTTTGAGTTGTTACACTTTTTATTTTGATATTTAAAAGGATAACACTATATTGTATAAAATACACTTATTGAAAGACCCACTGTATATTAGTGTTTTTATTATGTGTCTAATTATGGAGTTTTAATTTTTTTTGTAATTTCAACTAAGTGGTATGTTTATTCTATTTTGGTGTAACATATTTTTTAGCAAGAGTTTAAATTTTTATGTAAACTTTTGCAAGACTTAGCATGGCATAGGGATTAGCATTCTGGGCTGTTGATCTAAGTTTCTGTGGTCTGTGCCATGCTATCATAAAAAAAAAAGAATTGTACTCTGCACTTTGGGATCGTGAGTGCATTATAAGAGTGATGGTCGAATGCCGCTCTTCAGACTGACAAGAAAACCCAAGAGTTAGCAGTAGAAGATCTTAACTAGCTACTTTTCCTCTAGTCTGTCTGTTCAAAAATTAGGGATGGTTAGTGTAAATAGCTCTCGGGTATCTTTACATGAAATTCAACAAAAACCTTTTTTAATGGGAGATTGTGGCTTAACTGAAAATTGGAAGAACAAACAACGCTTCCTAAGTATTCTGTTTGAGAAAGAATCAATGAAATTACATGTACAATTTTCACAGAAATATTCATATTTGTTGCAGGATTTATTGATTTATTTTTTATTTGTATTAGAATATTCATAAAAATGTCTCTCTTGATAACCAAGATAGTGAAATAAAATCCTGTAAAAGATGGTGGTTGTATCCATTCCAAATAATCATGTGATTAAACACTGGCAAAGTTTTTAAAAACCCATTAAGTAGGTTTTGGGTTAAAATTAAATGATTTAATGTTGTTCTATTTTTATTGTATTAGAATATTTGTAAAAATGTCTCTGCAGAACAAAACTATAACTAGAAGAAGTACATAGTGAAATAAAATCTTGTAAAAGAGATAGTTGTATCGGTTCATTATAAATATATGACAAAACACTGACAAGGTTGTTAAAATCGGTTTTTGGTTAAAATTAGAGATTAGATTGTCATCGATCCGATTTATTATAGTAAAGTTGCATAATTTCTTATAGGAATGAATGCTACTCTCCGAGCTGTGTGCAGAATGGGACTATATATGGGAGCTAGAATGTACTTCATCAAGGAAGGCTACCAGGGAATGGTAGATGGTGGGGAGAACATTGTAGAAGCAGGATGGGTTAGCATTTCAGGAATCATCCACAAGGTAGAGTGCTACTGACTACTCTTCACTCTTGCAACACTAATGTAAGAGTTTCTCCTTCCTAATGTTTAAGGGGGAGGGGAGAGAAAGAATTTTATTTGGTGACTGATGTGATGCAGCTGAAGGTGTAGCTCTATTCTTGAGGGGGGGGGGTAATTTTGAAAAACAAAGTAGCAAAACGATACATTTTAAGCAGCAAATTACTGTAAGAATTTGTTACCAAATCACTATTATTTTAACTAACTAGTTTAAGCTGACAAAGATTTGTCAATGACTACTGAAGAACTGCTCTTGAATATTTTAGACTTTAGTCACCAAGTAGTCTGTTAAATGATATCGAAATGTTCAACTTCTGTGTGATTGATCTATTACTTCACTAGCAATTAAGCTATGGCCAACAAAACATAGTCTTGAGATGTTGCCTTTTTTTAATTATTGTAATATGTCTACAAATATGGCCTAATTGTATTATGCAAGTTTTTTCGTAATACCAAGGTTACCAAGTTTTTTCACACCAAAAGTTATCTAGAAGTAAAATTCCCAAATTTATAAAAAAAAAAGCTGGGGAATGGGGATTGTGTTTAGTGGGATGAAGTCACCCCCCCCCCCTTCAACCAACAGTATAAAAAGAAAACCCCAGCTAGTGTATAACATCAAAAGAGAAAATAAAGTGTGATAATACTAACTAGTTAATAATTTTTACTTTGTTATCCCTAGAATGTAATGTCAAAATAGGTTATAAACACCATGACAGTACATATAACTTATCTTGATTGGTTAAGAACTGATGTTGGGAAGATTTCTCTAGTATCTTTATTAAATATTGTTTAATAATCATCAATAGGGAATAAAAAAAAGTAAAAAAATCTTTTTCTTAAAAAATTTTGTTTGTTTAAGAAATTTGGCTGATATTGGCCATGATAGTTAATCAAAAGCACCAATCACCAGACTGTAGTTACACCCTTATGTTTCTTTAAAATGAAACAATTACACCCTTATGTTTCTTTAACATGAAACAATAATTACACCCTTGTGTATCTTTAATATGAAACAATAATTACACCCTTGTGTATCTTTAATATGAAACAATAATTACACCCTTGTGTATCTTTAACATGAAACAATAATTACACCCTTATGTATCTTTAACATGAAATAATAATTACACCCTTATGTATCTTTAATATGAAACAATAATTACACCCTTATGTATCTTTAATATGAAACAATAATTACACCCTTGTGTATCTTTAATATGAAACAATAATTACACCCTTATGTATTTTTAACATGAAACAATAATTACACCATTATCTATCTTTAATATGAAACAATAATTACACACTTGTGTTTCTTTAATATGAAACAATAATTACAGACTTGTGTTTCTTTAATATGAAACAATAATTACACACTTGTGTTTCTTTAATATGAAACAATAATTACACACTTGTGTTTCTTTAATATGAAACAATAATTACACCCTTGTGTATCTTTAATATGAAACAATAATTACACCCTTGTGTATCTTTAATATGAAACAATAATTACACCCTTGTGTATCTTTAACATGAAACAATAATTACACCCTTGTGTATCTTTAAT